CTTTCTCCTTCCCACCCTCATAGCATCTTTCTCGCGAGCTCCCACTCCCCAAGCTTCCTTTTTCTTTTCACTCTGTTTCTATTCTTCCAGGCTGTCTTCACTTCTCCACCCCCTCAATTCTCTCTGCTCTACTTCCTACCTCCTCAAGTCCCAAACCCCATAGGTCCCTCTTTCTCTCTTTAGCCTCCTGTGCTTCCCTCCCTCCTCCCCCAGACTCAGAACAAAAGGGTCCTTTCCTGTCTAAGAGCCATAGGGTCCAGAGATCCAGGAATGGCTCTGGAGACCAGGGGTCCCCTTAAAATCTCTAGGACCCCTGCGCTGGAGTGTGGTGGGCAGGTGGACTGAGGAAGAGAGGGAGAGACTCTTTCTTTGTTCTGAATAGTGGAGAGGTGGCTGGCTTTGTGTGCAGGACTAGGAGTGGATCCGGAGAGCAGGGCTGGGGGAACCAGGTGGGAGATGTGAGGGCTGGCAGTTTTCGAGGCAAGTTGAGGAACTGGGGGTCTCCCAAGAGACTGAAGCATTTAAGGGGCGTAAAAAAAAATTCTAGGGGTCCCGGAGGTTAGGGAAAGAGCTGAGGGGGAAGGGAGAAGGCAAGATTGGGAGAAGGAGAAGGGAAGGGAGCCTGGGGGACAGGAATGAAGCTTAAGGAAGTCACTAAGGGACTTGGGGGGAGGGTGTCAAGAGAAAGACTTGGCTAAGGCTCCCCAAAGAACTGAAAGAGGGGTCTGATCTCAGTCCCTCTGGCTTCCCTGGGACCATGACCTTGGGATCAGGGAGGGAGCAGATGAGTTTCATGCTTGCATGTGGTGTATGTGTGTGTGTGTGTGTGTGTGTGTGTCAGCCCCCAGACACTCTGGTTTACGGTTTGGATCGGTCACTGAAGTAGGGGGCTCATGCTCCTTGGAGAGTAGGAAATAGATCCATTCTTTGATTCAGTCTGGGGTCTGAAGTATCATCTAGGAGCCTGAGTGAGCAGACTGGTCAGGCCTCCCAGAGCTAAGAGAAAAAGACTGAAATTGCTGGCTGGACCCTTCTGGGATTGTTTATGTCTCCTTGGGGGATGGTGCGGGGAGCAGCTGTCCCCCTCCCAACTCAGCCGGCCTGCCCTGTGCCAGGAGGGCAGGGAGTCCTGGCACAGCTATTGTTCACTTGCACAAATGCCCGTCTGTTTGCATCACTCCCCCCTCCCTCTCTGCCTGTCTCTCTCCTGACCCGACAGGTGTGGCCCGTGGGGGGCAGGCTGAGCTCCAGGATGGATGCCTGGGTCTCAGGGTCTCTAGCCAGATTTTATTTCCTGTGGCCCTTAGTGCCCCTCTTCTGCCTCACAGATGTGCCTCCCCTATTGTCCAGTGTCTCATCTTCATTCATTAGGCAAGCATTTATTAAGTGCCTTTGTGTGTGCAGCGATGTCTTTTTGTGTTGTTTTTGGCTTTGGCTTTTGTGTTTCCCTTTAGCTGCCTTCTCCTCCGCCTCCTGCCTTCATCTTGTCCCTGGAAGCCCAAAAAGTAGCCTCGCCTCCCCAAGGCTGTGCCCAGCCCTCTTCTCCACCCCTGGCCATAAGCATTTCACCTTCTCATACCTCAGCCCTGTAACTCATCCCCCATGATTCAGGGCCCCTCACAACATGTGACTTGCACCCCTGCAGTCCAGGGGCTCCTGGTCACCAGACAGATCTCGCCATTTTGGGGAAGGGGAAGCTGGAGCAGAGGTGATTGTGAGCATCCCACAATTCTCACAGAGCTCTTGGTTTACATGTACCTGACAGAGGAGCAGGGACACCTGGAAACGCAGGCCTCGCTTACAGAGGGAGCACAGGAAGCCGGGCTTGGGCATTGCCTTGTCCTTCATGCCCTTCGCTGTTTGCCTCTTCTCAGCCTGGGCAACAGCGTTTGGAAAAGGGGAGACAGCCTCTACCTTTAGGCTTTTGAACCACCAAGCACAATGCCCTCTGCTGTTCACCCCATCTCTTTCCCCAAAGTGACCAAGATCTGAGATGACGTATGAGAAGGTTCTGGGTTGGCCTTTTTCTGATGACCAGAGGAAAGCTCAGAGGAAGTAGAGAGGAGGGGTGGGAGAAATGCAAAATAAGAGCAATTAAAGACTCAGAAGCTCTGATAAGGAAGAAGGCCTCCTTGGAGCAGGGACAAGGGTACCACTGGGACCCCATGTCTTGGTGTCCATCCATCATCCTTCAGCCATCCTTCCTTCCCCTTCATTTCCAAGCATTTTTTTTTTTAAAGGAAGGTCTACGGTGGAAGAAGCACAGGTTTTATTTATTTATATTTTAAAGATTTATCTATTTATTTATATAAGCACTGGGTATAGTCAGAAGCGCGGGAGGATAAGAGAATTCACCAGTCAGAGGGGGGAACAGAACAGGCAGAGTGACGAAGTACACTGCTGAGGGGAGCAGCGGGGTGGCAGGAGAGGTCTGCGCACCCTGTGGGACCCTCGCCTGGGGGCCAGGGATCAAACCTGCGCTGCAGAGGCTGCGGGAAGCTTCACAACCCAGCGCTCAACCGCTGCGCCACCAGGGAGGCCCTTCCAAGCGTGTTTTGAGTCTCTCACGTGTTTTGTTCCCGGCACCCTTGATGTGGTTGGTGGTGGAGTAGACGGGCTGTGCAGCAAGAAAGACTTCCAGAAGGGTGTATGAGCTAGCATGACCCTAGACACTGGACAGCAGATTAACTGAGCCGGAAAGGCCTCTAAGTGTTGGGACCAGGTTTGGCAGATTGTGGGGTAATAGGCCCTTTTCCTTGGACTGATGGGGCTGGTGGGGCTGTCAATGGGCAAGTGATGTGATTATCTTAAGAATACCTGGAAGAGAGGACAAAGAACCGAACAAGCCCATTTACTCCACTCGGGGGCAGGCACCAGCCTAGCCTGAGCCCAGGGGAGGGCGCAGACTGCCACTGGGACAATAGCACTAGGCAGTGCTGGGGCCGCTTGCTGCTGGGCAGCTCCCGTGTTGGGATGTGCTGCTGTTGGGGCTGCTGCCCGCTGCTGGCCCCCCTAGAGAGGGGGTCTCTAGAAGAGAGGGTGAGTGTCCAAGGCGGAGGAGGCTAGGCTCAGAGTACCAGGATGGTCTGTGGGGCATTGATGCCAGAGAGAAGGGGCTGAAGGGGCTGTCTCAGTCCTCTCTCCTTCCCCTCTCAGGTGAGTGCTCCCTGAGAGCAGAGGTCATCTGGGAAGGGGAGTTGTAGCTGTTGGGCAGCACCACCCACTCTGGAGTAGACCCTAATCCAGACACGTTCTTTTTATTTTATTTATTTATTTATTTATTTAATATTTTATGTATATAATTATATTCATTTTTTTAAACATTTATTTATGCGTACAAGAGTTGGGGTGCAGGCCAGAGGTGTGGGGTGTGTGTGTGAGAGGATTCACCAGAGACAGAGTGGGGAGCAGAACAGGCAGACTGACTGAAATACACTGTTGAGGGGAGCAACGGGTGAGACAAGAGAGGTCTGCTGTGCCATGTGGGTCAGCTTCCAGGCCGGAGATTGAACTGGGAATCAAACTTTGTGCTAGTGCTGCAGTGGCTGCTGATAGCTTCACAAGGGGACTTAACCCCTTGTGATGCCCACCAGGGCAGCCCCATGTTCTTTTTTTTTTTTTTTTTAAAGATTTATTTATTTATGTATACAAGCACTGGGGTACAGTCAGAAGCGCGGGAGGGTGAGAGAACTCACCAGAGTCAGAGCAGGGAACAGAACAGGCAGACTGATGAAGTACACTGCTGAGGGGAGCAGCGGGCGGCAGGAGAGGTCTGCGCGCCAAGTGGGACCCTCCTCCAGTGGCCCTGAGCGCTGCAGAGGCTGCGGGCAGCTTTGCAACCCAGCACTCAACCCCTGCGCCACGGGGGGAGGCCCCCCATGTTCTTTTTTAATGTAAGTTTTCATGTTTACCTGTGTGCTTGCTTTTTATTCAAATGTAATAATCCTCAATTTTTTATTTGTGTCACAGAAGGCTGGGAGGCAGGCAAGAAGAGAAGGGGGTGGCAGTGAAATGTTTGGACTTTGTCTTTGAGGCCCTATAAGGTGGTTATTCAGAAGGGGAGCATTAGAACTAAAGAGCTAGAATGTGGAGCAAGATGGACAGAATTTAGATAAAAGAGAGTGTTTTCTACTCTTTTCTGCAAGTAGATAGACCAGAATAAAAAAAGGGATCCTGGAAGATTGGAGACTAGAGTCAGAGGGTAGAGGTTGGAACTTCCTTAACAAGGCCTTGGTGGGGGAGGAGTTGTCTTCAGCCTGGAGGAGGGAGAGAGAGGCCAAGGGCAGTAGGAAAGCTTGTAGAAAGGGAGGCTGAGGTGGAGGAGGGAGACCATGAGACGGGAGGACATGGGAAGGAGACCAGGAAGTGGGAGGAAAAAGAGAAGAGAAAAATAGATGGTGGGGAGGTGAGTGGCCTGAGACCTCCAGGCACCAGTCATCTTGAGACAAACCTAGAACTTCTGAGGGAGGCAGGAGAGGTGGATCCTGGGCCATAGGGGACCCTGAGACCCTAGTGTTCTTGCGGTCTAGTGCCCTCTGACCCTAGTGCTGTTGACTCAGCGCCTCCACACTTCCCTCTTCTGCCCTCAACACCTGACCAGTGCAGCTTCCCCTTTCCCCCTTGAAGGCTATGTGACTGGAGCTGAGAATCAGAACTGGGGCCACACTGAACACTCCCCCGAGTTCCAGCTCTGTCCAGGGCCCCAGCCAGTGTCCTCTAACTTGGGGCTTATCCCCTCAGTCTCAGTTCTTTGGCTTCTACTTTTTGGTTTCTGAGAGGCGGGAGGGGTGTGGGCTTGTCCAGTCTTCCTGCTGTCCGTCCTCTAAGAGTATAGGGAAAACCCAGGGGTCTCAGGTGACCAGAGAGGAAGGGGCTGGGATAGGTGGGAAAATGGACTCCCATCTTCTCACCTCCTCAGGCTTTGGGGACGCTTGAAGAGGGACAGAGAAGGCATCAGAGATGTCTTGACCTGCAGAGGTGAGGGGCAAAGCGGAGAGGAGCTGAGATGAAAATGGCAGCTCTGGGCTTTTGAGAAAGCACGTGTGCTGGGCCCCGCCTCTACAGAGACCAGAAGAACTGATACTGCAGCTGAAGGCTGAAGGGTAGATGCCAGAAAGGACGTCCTAGGATGGGAGAGACGAAGTGGAGGAGGAGGAATAGAGGGAGCGATCCTAGGTTTTGCAGGGTATGAGAGGGGTGCGAGTTAGACTGCAGGAGGGACTTCCTGCCACGACTAAGAAGGAGACACCCAGCAGCTGAACTGCTTTCCTTAAACACCCCAGAGAGGAGGAGTGGCCTAGAGCAAAACCAAGCTCCTTCAGCCTGGAAGCTGGGCTGGTGGGGGCAAGCTGCCTCCTGGAGAGGGAGGGGCTTTGCACCCCTGGCTGGGTGTATGTGGAAGAGTTACAGGTTGAGGCTCCCGCCCTAGAGGGTGGGGGTAGCAGTAGAGGTATTCTGCCCCCTTCAGCCAATCTAATAAGGGGATCTCCTACCCCCCACTGTGACAGCGGGGAGACAGTGGCACCAGCACTGGTTGTCATGGTTATAAGAGGAGCTAACTCTCATAGATTTTAAAGCGCTGGTGAGCTGGCATCCTCTGCTTCTCCTGCTCTCCCCTCCTCACTGCGCATCTTCCTCCCGGCACAGAGAAGAGAGTACAGCAGCTCAGGGGGCGAGCAGAGCCCGGGCTGGGAGGTGGAGTGAGGACGCCGAGGTGAGGTCTAGATCCAGGGAGATGAGCGGCAACAGGAGGCAGCCCAGCCGCAGGGTCCAGGTAGGTCAGAGGCCACTGAGGTCCAGAGAGCTGCTCTAGCCACTGCCGACCCCCTGTGCAGGCTCTACTTTAGGAGGTGGTGTCTTTCCAGCCCCCCTCGGCTGTCTCTGGTCACCTCGGACACACTGACTTCTTCCAGCCTCACTTCCTGTCTCTCTCACCCCTTCCACAGACCCGGGAAAAAGAGAAGATGAAGGAAGCCAAGGATGCCCGCTACACCAATGGGCACCTCTTCACCACCATCTCTGTTTCGGGCATGACCATGTGCTATGCCTGTAACAAGAGCATCACAGCCAAGGAAGCGCTCATCTGCCCAAGTGAGTTGTTTGTACCCTGAATGTCACTCTGACTGTGCCTGCTGAGCCTGATCTTTCCATTTGTCCTTTCTGCCCTGAATCCATCAAGGTCACTCTCCTCTTAGAACCCTAGTCAGGCCCAAATGCCAGGGCCAAAGACTTGATCCCCTGCTTCCAGGGCTGGTGGCTCTCAGAATATGCCGTAAATGGGGCTGTTTGGGAATTGGGGGAGGGGTGGCTGGCTGGGATGGTTCCCCTTGCAGCTGTCGTCCACTGGGTATCCCCCAACTCCTTGAACAGCTGTTGAGGGCTAGGGGAACTAATTGGAGAAGGAAGAGGAATGTTGGGGGAGAGAGATGGGATAAAGATGCTGGCTTTGCAACTGGTTCTGCCTGTCTTGGGTAGACTTCAGAGTCCTCTGCCCCCACTTTGTATTGACTCGGTGGAGCCTGAAATCTCTTCAGTCTCTAAACCTCTGCAGTTTGAAGCAGAGGATGGGAATTGGACCTTTGGTCTTGAATTTCTAGTCTGAGACACAGAGAATAAAAGGGGAACAGCCAGGAATGTGTGTGTCAGGGTCCAGGGGTTCAAACTTCCGATCTTTACCCAGATCTGAGTGGGGGAGCCCTATATTTAGAAAGCATAAGCAAGGAATTCTTCCTTTCCAGGATCCCTACACAGAGGACTTCTGCTCTGCCTTCCACACCCCCCCCCAAGTTGGTGGCAAAGAGCTGCTTCTGATTAGAGCAGGTTTAAAGGTGTGACATGTCATTGAAAAGTAGAACAGAAACTCCAGCCACTAATTCCCTATGGAACTTGTGGAAGGAACCCCCAGAAGGAACCCGTGAGGCCTCCCTGGTTCCTCACTGCTCAACTTAGAGTTATGAGGAGGGAACCCCAATCTAGATTCCTCTAGAGAGCTGACAAAATTCCCAATCCGGAAGTTGTTGCCAGGGGAACCAGGGAGGCGGGCAGCAAGCGCTATTTTGAGAGCAGGTGGAAAGCGGAGGTTCGATCCAGAGACACTAGGTGCTGGGGGCAGGAGCTCCCACCCTCTGGGAGCTCCAGGGGGTAAGGGCAGTCCCAGCCCCCACTTCTGTCTGTCCCTCTGCCCCACCCTACTGGCCTTGTATTTGTGGAAGTGAACTTGGTGCTGGGTATTGTCTGAAGGAGTTAGCAGAGTTTCCGGTGTTGTACGGGGGCGGGGAGCTGGAGAGGACCGAGGCCTGAAGGCCTGTGGGGAAAGGGACAGCAGTGGTCCCGGTGCCGAGGCTTGACTGCTTTTCGCCTCTCCTTTCCTCTCCTCCCCATGCCAAGGTGGGGTGGGTGATGGGGGAGAAGCAGATGGAGTGTGGGAGCTGTGGGTTTGCCTTAGTTGGGGAACAGGACTCCCCGGGCCTGGAAGGGAGAAGGCACACTGAGAGGAGTTGCAAACCGAGCAGGCCCTGCTGAGCAGCACAGTAAGCAAGCAGCAGGCTTGCAGGAGGGGCAGGACTGGCCCCCGTGCTGCCACTCCACCAGCTTTCCCCCTTGTTAGGCCTGACCAGAGTCTGGGCACACATGTGGCTCAACAGAAAGAGCCACCAGCCTTTCTGAATCTAAATCCCAGCTCTCCCACTAGCTCTGGCCTCTAGCCATGGTTTGACCTCTGGAGGACAGCTTCCTCCCTCATCTGTAAAGTGAGGCTATTTCAATCTGCCACAGAGAGTTGTTAGTCTCAAGTGATTGTAAGGGGTTCACAAGATGCCCAAGGAATGTGATTCCCCCCTGCCCCAAGCCCCCATCCCAGCTGCTCCTGTGCCATCTTCTCCGTGGGCGTCCGCTCTTCCATCTGTCGTTCTAACCACCTTTGTGTTTCTTGAGCTCATCTTTGGCAGCCAGTAAACCCCATCTTCCCTCTAGTCTACCCCTCAGGTCACCTTGGAGTCAGGATTGGCCACCCCTCCTAATTGCTTAACTGGAGTCAGGAAGGGGAGGTGGGAGGAGAGGGACTGGGGATGGTGATGGTTGAGAAGTTCGGGCTGGGGGCAGAGTTTCTGAGACGACGTGCAGGGGGAGATGGTGTCTGCATGTGGGTGTATCCCCTCCTGTACCACCTGCCCTCCCTTCACCCTCTCTACCCCACCCTCCCAGCTTGCAATGTGACTATCCACAACCGCTGTAAAGACACCCTCGCCAACTGCACCAAGGTCAAGCAGAAGGTGAGATGGCAGGGAGGGCAGAGGGCTGGGGGGAGAGGGTAGTGAGTGTGTGGTGCCCTCATGCCTCTTCCATTCATTTCTCCCCCTGTGTTCCTCAACCCCTCTCCTCACCAGGGGGCAGCCCAGAACCTCCACCCCAGGCCTCAAGCCCCTTCTGGGCTAGACTACTGCTGGAGACACCAGCTTTGGGCTCAGCCGCCCTGATGCCCATAGCTATGGTGCTAACTTTTCCCCAAGGAGGCCAGCTGCCCAGTTCCTGTCCCATGCCCAAGGAGGTCACCCCTAGGTGACACTGTTCTTGGTATCTCTCCCTTGCCCTGTTTCACAGCAACAGAAAGCTGCCTTGATCAAGAACAACACTGCCTTGCAGTCTGTTTCACTTCGCAGTAAGAGTGAGTATGAGTAGCCCCTCCAAGGGTCTCAGGACCCCAGCCTCAACCCTAAGCTCTGCTGCCCCCTTGAGGTCATCCTTGGCAGAGCACCTTCCTCCCTTCTGTTGGCTGGTGGGCCCTGGGCATGTCCAGACTCCTGGGATTAAGGGCAGGGCAGGAGAGTTCCAATGGGGCGGAGGGCTTGAGGTGGCTGGCCATCTGGGCCTGGCCTCACCCTGTGTTTTTATCATTCATTCACACTGTGCATGGATGTATTGGCTACAATGTAATAAAAAGAGCTTGGTGCTTAGAGTGCCGAGTGCTTGGCCAGCCACTGGCTGGGGTGTGTGGCTCCAGACAAGTTTGTAACATTTTCTGAGCTCCGGTTTCCTCATAGGCTTATTTTAGAGAAGAGACAAGGTAGAAAAGCGCTTTGTATACATTAAAAGCATTGTACAAATATAAAGTGGCTTCACTGTTAATCATTCCTGGACTAGAGAGGAAGGCTAAGTGTGAATGGGAGAGGATGTCTCATTTCTAGGTGAGAAGCCTGGGAGCCTGAATCCTGGGAAGGCATCAGGTGTGATGTTTGCCTGCTCGGTGTCCCCCCACAGCTACCACCCGGGAGCGGCCTAGCTCTGCCATCTACCCCTCGGACAGCTTCCGGCAGTCCCTGCTTGGCTCCCGCCGAGGCCGCTCCTCTTTGTCTTTAGCCAAGAGTGTTTCCACCACCAACATTGCTGGGTGAGCCTCTGCTAGGGGAGGGAAAGCCAGGCTGTGGTGACTAGGGAGGCTGGGAGGGCCTTCCTGTCCCTGAGTTCAGAATTACAGACGTACAGGTAAGGAGAACTCAGTGACTGCCTCTCAGATCCCAGGCTTGGGTCTCCCCAGGGAAGGGATATCTGGCCTGGGTCGGGATGATGCAGCCAGTCTCCCCTGCCCTCAGACACTTCAATGATGAGTCTCCCTTGGGGCTGCGCCGGATCCTCTCCCAGTCCACAGACTCCCTCAACATGCGCAACCGAACCCTATCGGTGGAGTCCCTCATCGACGAAGGTGACTGTGCCTGCACCTGGGGGGACTGTGGAATGAGTGGCTGGTGGGAGCAGGCCCAGGATGGAGGGTGGGAAGTAATCTAGGAAGGGCCCAGGGTCCCGGGAAGAGAATCAGGCTCTGAGTAGTTTCCCTCGCTATGTTCAGGCGCAGAGGTTATATACAATAAGCTGATGAGTGACTTTGAGATGGATGAGAAGGACTTTGCGGCTGACTCGTGGAGCCTTGCTGTGGACAACAGCTTCCTACAGCAACACAAAAAGGAGGTGATGAAGCAGCAGGACGTCATTTATGGTGAGCCACCAGGGCCATCCATTCTGTTCCTTCTCTACATTCTGTTTCTCTGTGCCCTTCTTCTGCCAACCCCTACCTTGAAAGACTGTCTCCCATATACCCTACTGACCTCTTTTTTTTTTTTTTAAGATTTATTTATTTATGCATACAAAAACTGGGGCACAGGGGTGTGGGGTGAGAGGATTCACCAGAGACAGAGTGGGGAGCAGAACAGGCAGACTGACTGAAATACACTGCTGAGAGGAGTAGTGGGCGAGTCAGGAGAGGTCTGCTGTGCCATGTGGGTAGCTCCCTGGCAGGGATCGAACTCGTGCTGCAGAGGCTGTGGATAGCTTCATAGTGCTGCGTCTTAACTCCGTGTGCCACCAGGGAGTCCCCATCCCTTTTTTCAAATCAGTTCTTAGTCTTTATTCTCTGACTCCTTCATGCCCAGACTGTGCTGGGGACTCTGGGAAACCTAGACATGAGGAGGACACCTATTATTGTGCTAACACAACTTATATCTTGAGGTGGCTAGACATAAAGGTAAAAACTGATAGGAAATTGATCCAAGATCATCATGACGCAGAACATTAATCTGGAAGGGATCTTAACAGCTCAGATGAGCCCTGAGGGTCCCCACCTAATGCAGCCACCCCAAAATAGAGGCCAATTGTCCCACTCTCCCCGCAGAGCTGATCCAGACAGAATTGCACCATGTGCGGACACTGAAGATCATGACCCACCTCTTCCGCACGGGGATGCTGGAAGAGCTACAGCTGGAGCCCGGAGTGGTCCAGGGTCTGTTCCCCTGTGTGGATGAGCTCAGTGACATCCACACGCGCTTCCTGAGCCAGCTGTTAGAACGCCGACGGCAAGCCCTGTGCCCTGGCAGCACCCGAAACTTTGTCATCCATCGCTTGGGGGACCTGCTCATTAACCAGGTAAGAAAAGGCAGGACCCATGCAGTGTCACTGGATTGTGTGTTTCTTGCCTCCAGGGAAAGCTGGAGAGGCAGGAAACTGGCTGGTCTGGTGGGAGTCTTGAGGGTGAAGAGGGGACAGGGTGAGGCTTTGGGGGATATGCTGACCCAGCCTTGTTCCCCCAACTTCTAGTTCTCTGGTCCCAGTGCTGAGCAGATGCGTAAGACCTACTCGGAGTTCTGTAGCCGCCACACCAAAGCCTTAAAGCTTTATAAGGAGCTATATGCCCGGGACAAACGCTTCCAACAGTTCATCCGGGTGAGCAAACCTCTCAGGACCCACACTTAGAGCTGCATTCACCGGGGAGTGTATGTGCCACACCTACCAGGGGGCTAGCGTTCCCCATTCACCTATGGATCCTGTCACCAGTAAGCCCTCATGGTGGTCGAGTGAGTGCCCTTCCCTCCTAGTCCTTGATCTTCATGGTAAGCCTGTGGCATGTTACTCCGTTTTCCAGATGCAGTCAGCTAAGTCAGCATGAGGTAAATGACAGAGTTGGGGCTGCCCCAGAGGTCAGACTCCAAGCCCTAAGCCCGTCAGGCACTCTTTTCCTTGCCCTCCCCCGCCCCACTCCAACCCTAAGTCCCACTGATTCACTTGCAGAAGGTGACCCGCTCTGCTGTGCTGAAGCGGCATGGGGTCCAGGAGTGCATCCTGCTGGTGACCCAGCGCATCACCAAGTACCCGGTACTCATCAACCGCATCCTGCAGCATTCCCATGGTGAGGGGATACCCCAGAGGGTGGGCAGGAGAGGACCACCCGGGAGGAGAAAGGCTCGGGGACACCAAGGGAAGGGATAGGGTCAGATGTGGCATCCTGGGCAGGCTCCCAAGGTGTGGTCAAGAGACAAGGGAGCCGGGGCTGGAGTGAAGCTGGCTGAGCCAGCTCTCATGTGAACGGACCCCCGGTGCCAGGGATTGAGGAAGAACGCCACGACCTGACGGCAGCACTGGGGCTGGTGAAGGAGTTGCTGTCCAACGTGGACCAGGATGTGCATGAGCTGGAGAAAGGGGCCCGCCTGCAGGAGATCTACAACCGCATGGACCCTCGGGCCCAGACCCCAGTGCCTAGTAAAGGCCCCTTTGGCCGGGAAGAGCTTCTACGGCGCAAGCTTATCCATGATGGTTGCCTGCTCTGGAAGACAGCAGCTGGGCGCTTCAAAGGTCAGTGGTCAACTTGGCCGGTCAGGCAAGAGTTGGGAGTCGGATCTAATTTTGGGTTCTGTTGCAGCAAAAATCTAGATTCTGGCTTTCACTTCATGGCAAACAAAGACTTCTGTACAAGTATGTATTCATTACTTTGGTCCTTGCTTGCCTGCAGAGTTAGCTAGAGGTCATATTTGGGGCAGTTGGTTCTGTCAGTTGGAATCTTGGACAACAGGCAGGAGCTTTGGGGCGATATTCTGGAAGGCTCAGAGGAGGGTGCTAAGCCCAGTGAAGGACAAGCAGGCTGGAGAAGAGAAAGGAGCAGACGGGGCAAGTTGGGGTACCCATAATCCAAGACCCATTCCCAGACTTTATTCCTGGACTGCACCGGCAGTCTTTGCTACCTAAATCAAGGCAAGAGAATGTCAGGCCTGGACTTTGAGAGAAAAGAATGAGAGACAGAGTAAATTGTGCCACCTGAGGCCAGAGCCTGCCTGAGCCTCTGTACCCAAGTTATGAAATGCCCATTCCGTGGGCTTGGGGGTTACAGTCTTCCTCAGCCACTTTTCTTCATCCTTTCTCTCCTTCCCATCCCTCCCACGCAGCAGCTAAGAATATAAACCATGGGGGGTTAAAAATAGCAAGGCTGGAGAGCTTTATTTCTGAAGCATTTAGCAAAAAACCTCCCCTTCTGTGTGCTCACAGTTTAGTAAGCTGAAGATGAAGGGTGAGTGTCTTTCTTGACTGTGACATCCAACTTTTATGGAATTGACATTTGTTCCCCCTCAGACTTAAAGGACAGGCCCTCGTAGGGTCTGAGAACCTCACAGGTGAGGTGGAAAGGGGAGGGGAGGAGGCCCTGCTGGGGTTGAAGGAGGTGGGTGGTTCAGCCATGGGAGATGCCTGAGGAACCCAACTTTTGCCCTCTGCCAAGCACAAAATGCTGGGCAGGTGCTGAGGCAGGGCAGTGTAGGCCAGGTGTCCAAAAAGGTCTTACATTCTTCATTGTTAGACAGCAAGAGGAAAGCTGGAAAAATGATGGCCCTTTCTGTTTGGGGAAGCCTTTTTACTTTCTAGAATTCTGACCCTTTCACATAGAAAAATACACATGTGTGCTATACTACTGTGTAAAATTGCTTACGCAGCCAGAGAGGGTTTGTAGACCCCTAAAGCCCAGCAGTGGACATGTAGGTGTCTGTAGACACTATGTTAAGGAACATGCATCAGTTGGGTAAAGAGGGTTTTCTCCAAAGGCTTCAGGTGATCCCTTATGGTTTCTTAGAGCCCAAGATTTTTTTATCTGCTAGCACATGCATCTCCCGCCCTCCGCCCCCAACCCCATTTCTGAGCTGGAAGAATTGGGTGGTAAGAGGTCTGGAAGGCAGAGGAAGCAGCCAGTGAGAAGAAAGGCCAGAAAGAGGGGAATTAGGAGCCCTAACTAACAGAGTAGGCCTGGTTCTTAGAATGAGGAGATTGCCAGTCAGACCGACCTTCTAATGCTATCTGTTCTCCTGTCTTTGTCCCCTTGCTAGATGTGCTGATGCTGCTGATGACAGATGTGTTGGTGTTTCTCCAGGAGAAGGACCAGAAATACATCTTTCCTGCCCTGGTGAGACCTTCCTGCTGCTTCTTCCACAACACAAATGTGTTACAAGCCTTTCTTGCTTTCCTACACAAGCCCAAAGAGCCCTAGAATCCTCCAGAGTCAAACTATTACCGTAACCACTATATGAAATGAGAAGAAGAAATGAGTAGCAAATACTGTGTACAAACACCTGTACATTCTTACCTTGTTTTTGCAGATGACAGAAGTAAATCTTAAATTGTCAAGGGTCAGATATGAATTTATGTCCTCTTGGGCATGTACCGAAGCCTGGGCTTGTAAATTGTCAATTGACTTTTCAGTCCTTTGAGTGTTCCAAGATTGAAGACTGAAGTAGCCGAGCATCAGGATGCCCAGGCTTAATCCTTCCTTTCCTCTGACTGGCAGGACAAGCCCTCAGTGGTATCCCTGCAGAATCTTATTGTACGGGACATCGCCAACCAGGAGAAAGGGATGTTTCTGATCAGTGCAGCCCCCCCTGAGATGTACGAGGTCCACACGGCCTCCCGGGATGACCGGAGCACTTGGATCCGCGTCATTCAGCAGAGTGTGCGCATGTGAGTATGTGCATGGGCTCGGGGTAACTGCAGCGTGGGGCCCTGGCCTCAGCACTCCCTGGGAACTACCAAGTGTTTGAAGGTGAGACAGAGGCTCAGGGAGAGGCAAGGAGGCCCACGTAGGAAAGGCCTTGTGAATCCTTATATCCTACAAAGTTTTGTTTTACACAAGAACAACAACTCAGCCAACTTTCCAAGGCAGCATCAGTTGACAAGCAGAGGAATACTTTGAGCTCTGTCACACAGGCACCCCTGCTGGCAGCAATTTCAGCTGCATTAACATTTTGTTCTCCTAGGTAGTGGCTATTACTTATACTCTGTATTTCATTTACCTTTATTTTCTAAAAATAAATGAAAGAGAGTATCGATAATGAAGGCATTGACACTGGACTCCAGAGAAGTCTCAGAAACAAACCCCATCCAACAGAAGCAAGGAGATGGTTCAGTGTGCTCATGTCTGCAACTCCTGTGATACACATGGCAGGACTGAGGCAGGCACTTGTGTGTTGTGAGAGGAAAGGCCAAGTGTGCGTGCAGCATTAAAAATGGGTTCTTGAAGATTATGTCTCCAGAATTTCAGTTGGGATGTTTATGATTTTTTTCTATTTCAGGAAATGAACTCTTCTTCACTTTGTATATGTAAACTCACTTTTTTTTCCCTTGCAATTTAGACTTCTGAACGTATTTTTCAGAAATGCACATGGAAGTACGAAATTGCCTAGGGACAATTTACCAGCCTCATTGATAATAGATATAGAGCCACCTACTTATTAGCAGTATTAATATTTGTAATTGTGAAAATTATAATTAATATTATTCATTGAAATTGATGTATTGTGTGTTTCAAAGCATAGTTACATTGTTTCCTTTTTTAAAAAAGATTTATTTATTTTTTTTTAAAGATTTATTTATTTATTTATAAAAAAGATTTATTTATGCATACAAGAACTGGGGTACAGACCAGAGGTACAGGGAGGTGAGGATTCACCAGAGACAGAGTAGGGAGCAGAACAGGTGGATCTACTAAAATATACTGCTGAGGGGCACAGCAGGCAAGGCAGGATAGGTCTGCTGCGCCATGTGAGTAGCTCCCTCGTCAGGGATCAAACTTGTGCTGCAGTAGCTGTGGATAGCTTCATGGTGCTGGGACTTAACCCCTTGTACCACCAGGGGTCCCCACATTGTTTCCTTCAATCCTACCCACAGACCTGTGATGAAGGTATTACCCTCACTTTTCAGATGAGGAAATAAGAGGTTACCCCCTGGAAAATAGTGGAGCCCAGACTTGAGTCCATTTGGATTGCTGCCTAAGCCTGTGCTGTGCTGTCTTTCCTCCTGGAGGGGGCCGTGCACACCAGAAATGCACATGGTCAATGCTAAGAAAAAGCCAGGGTCAAGGGGGAATGAAACCGGGGCAAGGAGCTGATTAACTCTTACCAGGGAAGCCTCTCTAGGAGGAGGAAAGGCTGATTCCTGGTCTGTCACCTGGCTTCTTTCCCCAACCCAAACTGGTCTCTCTCCAGATGCCCATCCAGGGAGGACTTCCCCCTGATTGAGACAGAGGATGAGGCTTACCTGCGACGAATCAAGAGTAAGTCCACCCACAGAGCTCATTAAATAATTTGATGCATCTGAAATGGGATGATATAAAACTTTTAAAAAATGAGATGGCACTATGAGGACTGATATAGATCTATAACCAGAATATATTAAGTCAGAAGAGCAGGAATTAAAACAATATAAAGTATCTGCTACCTTTGGTGTGAAAATAATGGGACTAGGTATATGCTGTATGTATTTTGTGTGTCAAGTATGTATATGTGTCATATCTAGAAAAGTATTATTACTTAGCTACCTATGAAGGGGAACTAGGATGACCAAGTTGAGACTTAATTTTTTACTATAGGACTTTATATTAGAGTATAATCTAATTGCTATACGGAAAGAGCAACAAAAATCAATTGCTTAAATAAAGTAGAAGATGATTTCTTGCCACATAACAGTCCAGAAAGGGGGAGTACAGGGTAATGGTACAGCTTTGCCATCTTCAACATGAAGGTTTCCCGTCTCACGAAGATTTACAAAGCAGCTGCTCTGACTCCCACTATCACATCTCTGTAGTCCAGCTAATGGGGAGTAAAGGAACAAGGAGATTTTATACCCTTGTGAGCATCCATTGGCTATATAATTTAGTCACATGGCAATATCTAACAGCAAGTTAGGCTAGGAAATGTAGTCTAGCTGGGCAGTCATGTGCCCAGATAAAACTTGCACAAATTCCCTAAGTAAAGGAAGGTCGGAAAATGAAAACTGGTGGACTTGGTGTCACAAATTTTACCTTAGGTTTTGGTTGTTTTTTTTTTGTTTTTTTTTTTTTAAGATATTTATTTATTTATTCATAGAACTGGGGTGTAGGCCAGAGTGCAGGGGGGTAAGAGGATTCACCAGAGACAGAGTGGAGCAGAATAGTGGGGAGCAGAACAGGCAGATGTACAGAAATACACTGCTGAGGGGAGCAGCGAGCGGGTGAGACAGGAGAGGTCTGTGCCAGTGGGTAGCTCTCTGACTGGGCATCGAACTCATGCTGCAGTGGCTGGTGATAGCTTGATAGCTCTGTCTTTAACCCCTGTGCTACCAGGGAGGCCCCTCCTTTAGTTTTTAAAACAAGAGTGTTTATGTTACTTTCTCCCAAAAAAGCTTCTTTTCATACATGACCAATAAAAACCCCAAAATTAAGTCCTTCCTCACTGCCCAGCCTCAGCCCCTAACCTCTAGGGTGGCCTCCCATTTCTGGCTCTGCTGGGTGCCTCTGGCCCTCCCGTATGCTCATCTGTTCTTATCCACAGTGGAGCTGCAACAGAAAGACCGGGCACTGGTGGAGCTGCTGCAAGAGAAGGTCGGGCTGTTTGCCGAGATGACCCATTTCCAGGTGGAAGAGGATGGCGGCAGTGGGATGCCCCTACCTACCCTGCCCAGGGGCCTCTTCCGCTCCGAGTCCCTCGAGTCCCCTCGTGGCGAGCGGCTGCTGCAGGATGCCATCCGTGAGGGTGAGGGACCTCTAGGGAAGAGTCGTGACTCATCCACTCACCATCACAGAATGTAGACACGTGATTAGACCTGGATGCACATAGACCCCATAGTCCATAAACTCCCCTGAGTGCCTCTTCCGTACCCTGTGCTCAAAGGGCAGGGCAAGGGGCTTAGTTCTTGCTCCTGTTAAACACCTTTCAGGCTCCTCTAATGTACCTTGGCCTCATAGGCAGTAGTGTGAGTGAGACCCAGCCCTTGTGTGTGTGAGGCCTGAATGCTCCCTATTTGGAATAAATGGCAACCCTCCTGTTCCCCAGGCACCCCTCCCGTTCCCCACAGTTTCTGTGTTGCTCCTGTCCTCATCCCCTCCTCTCTTCCCACAGTGGAGGGCCTGAAAGACCTGCTGGTGGGGCCTGGAGTGGAACTGCTGCTCACCTCCCGGGAACCAGCCCTGTCTGTGGAACCTGACAGCGGTGGTAACATGAGTCCTGGGGTCACTGCCAGTGAGTGTCGAAGGGAGACAAAGGTAGTGGGTGGCAGGGGTTAAAGAGAATGGGGTAGTAGCAGGGACCAAATCATGCCATGTCCCTGGGAGTGAACTCAGACCTCTGCTTCTCAACAGATGGTGAGGCCAGAACCTTCAATGGCTCAATTGAACTTTGCAGAGCTGACTCAGACTCCAGCCAAAAGGTAGGTTCTCAAGAGATGTCAGGACTTGGCTAGGGAGTGGATCAGGGACAGTATAGTCCTGGGAATGGAGCTCATGTGCCTGCTGACTCCCCATCCTCATCCATTCCTACAGGATCGAAATGGAAATCAGCTGCGATCTCCACAGGAGGTGAGACGGGCATTTGGTGGTACAGGAAACTGAAGGGAGGCTGAGAAGTTAGACTTAAACTTGGAGCTTTGTGGGGGAGAATCTATACTTCAGAATATCTGGAGTCTTATTGTCTCCACTCCCACACTTACTCAATTTCTAGTCAGTTCTCCCATCCTGAAGCTTGGGCCCTGTTCCCACTCTCTCCTCTGTCCTCAGGAAGCATTACAGCGGTTGGTCAATCTCTATGGACTTCTACATGGCCTACAGGTCAGTGGGGCAAAGGCTGCAATAGGTAACGGGAGGTCCCAGAAAGAGACTAGAGCTGTCCTTTGGGGGAGCAGTCATCCTAACAAGCCTTTCTACACATTCCCCCATTTTAACCTTTCTGGGAATCATGACCTGGGCCCTGGGGACTAAGGGTGAGGAGTAGAAGAAACTGGGGTTCTGATATACCCACCTGTCCCCTTTCCACTCCCAGGCAGCTGTGGCCCAGCAGGACACTTTGATGGAAGCCCGACTCCCTGAGGGCCCCGAGCGGCGTGAGAAGCTGTCCCGAACCAACTCTCGGGATGGAGAGGCTGGCAGAGTTATCCCAATGGCTCCCGAAAAGCAGGCCACAGAACTGGCGTTACTGCAGCGGCAACACGCACTATTGCAGGAAGAGCTGCGGCGATGCCGGCGGCTGGGTGAAGAGAGGGCCACGGAGGCTGGCAGCCTGGAAGCCCGGCTCCGGGAGAGTGAACAGGCCCGGGCTCTGCTGGAGCGGGAAGCTGAAGAGGCGCGCCGGCAGCTGGCTGCCTTGGGCCAGACAGAACCCCTCCCAGCTGCTGAGGCCCCCTGGGCCCGCAGGCCTCTGGACCCTCGGCGTCGTAGCCTCCCTGCAGGCGATGCCTTGTACTTGAGTTTCACCCCCCCACAGGTAAGGGGGGCTTGGATTAGTGAACTGACCTGGGGTGGACATAGGGGAGAACCTGAAAGCAGTTGGGGATTTGAGCCCAGATAAAATTGGGCAGCAGACTTGATGAGTTAGTTAGCATACTGGCTGGAGAACCGAAAAATTTTGGTGGGTGCAGACAGAAACCTGTTGGTGATTGATCTACTGAAGGTGACTCCTTGGTGAGTCCAAGTAGAGAGAGTTGAGTCTTGGGATCCAGCAGTGCCCACTGCCCCCAGCTGAGCAGGGCCTGCAAGCTTCACACTACTTGTTCCCCAACCTACTGCTTCTCCTGCCTGCCGTCCACAGTCCAGCCGAGGCCATGACCGCCTAGACCTGCCTGTGACTATGCGTTCCATCCATCGACCCTTTGAGGATCGAGACAGACAGGAGCTGGGCAGCCCAGAGGAGCGGCTGCAGGACAGCAGTGACCCCGACACGGGTAGTGAGGAAGAAGGTAGCAGCCGTCTCTCTCCACCCCATAGTCCACGAGGTGAGACCCTGGTGGAGACGTGGACTAGAAGTGGGGTGCAGGCCTGGGTGAGGCCTTGGGGCTGTGGTTTACAAATACGCATGTATCCTGGGACACAAGAATATTTAGAATGGCTCAACAGACTCCTGAGGTCTGGGGTTGCTCTTGAGAGGGACTCAGCAATCAATTTCTAAGTATAAAACTTTCAGGTATTTCAAGTTCTTCTAATTGGTTTAGGTAACTGAAAGTAACTAAAAGTTGTTGTGACTTCATACAACAATTATAAAATATTAGGCATTTTATTAATCTTGTGCCTTCATATACTGACAAAATGGACAGGGTACCTAGGTGCGGGTCTGTTACTTGCTTAGTTGACACCTGTTTTCTTTCGCCCAAGAATTCACAGACCTCTGCTATCTCGCAGCTCTCAGAGCTCCTCCGCCCATTAGTGTAGGGATGCAATTGCCCCAGTTGGGGTTAAGAAGGGAGCCTCTGTTTACTGACTAACTTTGCCCCATCTTCCTTCAGACTTCAGCCGAATGCAGGACATCCCGGAAGAAACTGAGAGTCGAGACGGGGAGCCTGTAGCTTCAGAGAGCTAAGGGGGCCCCCTCGCCCCCTGCCCTGTGTCCCTCCAGAAGAACATTACAGGGGGAGGCAAACCTTGGGGACTCCATTCTGCCAATGCTGAGGGAACATTTAAAAGAACTGCTGATTGTCCTTGCCAGCTCTTGGGATCCTTGGATACCTGGGGCCATTTAGCATACTGGGGGAATTAGGCTACAGTGCCCCCTGGTGGCATCCAGAAGCTACACCACAGATGCCAATTTTTCATGCCTCTTTCCCTCTGCTTTAGGGAAATTTATTTATTTATTGTTTATTAGTTATGGAGGAAGAGGAGAGATTTAGAGCACCAGGGACATGGGAACCAAGCCATATGGACCAGGGGGCCTTGTCCTTTAACACTACTGGGGTTTACTGAGGCTTAACCATGCAGCTGCTGGGTTCTAGCCTTGACACCCCTCCCCTCCCTAGCAACATCTGTCTTTGCGGGAAGGCTGCAGCCACAGGACCCTACTGCCCCCTCAGGAAGGACTGCGGACAGGGGCATGTTGCTCTCTCCACTCTCCTCAACTCCTACTGCTGTTCTCTCCTCTCTCTCCTCCCTGGAAACACCAGGAAAATCACCTGGTTTCCTAGAGTTGATGGAATAGAGGTTGAGGTGGCCATAATGGTTTATTGGGGGGAGGGGGTGAGGGAGAAACCCACAGGGACCAGAATGTTTTTTTTTTTCTTTTTTGTACCAAAGCCAACTGCACGTGTTTTATATTTTTAAGAAGACTATACGAAGCAGAGAGCAAAATCTCTATTTCACTGAAGAACTTGACAGATGGGGGGAGCAATGACTTCTCCCCTCATCTACAATAAGGGAGGACTTATTCTGTCCTCTTCCCCAGCCATTTGGAAAAAAAGTCTTGGGGTGAACTGGGAGATCTCTGCAAACCCTGACCTCACCCCCACCTCAACAACCATGACCTGAAACCTCAATGTGCATTTTGGGGGTTTTTCAATAGGCCCTAGTTGTCCACCAGCCCCAGACATTTTTTGCCAATTTGTTTTTTAAAAAAGAATAAGGCACAGAAAATTAAAGACCTAAAACCCCATGAATTGCTGTCTCTTACTGGTCTGCGAGTCCTGAGGGTGTGGGCAAGGGGAGAGCTGGGCAGTGAGCTGTGTTGCTCCGAAAGGGGCCTTTCCTCTCACAGGAAGGACAGACGCCTCACGGAAGGGGGGCACTAACAAGAAACAGCTGCCGACTTTCACGTCCTTGATGTTCACAAATACAAGGATAGAAATGAAGAGGCACGAAGTCAGGTTCCAGTGGCTGTTAGGGATGCCAATATTAGAAAACTTGTTTGTTCTCACTTGTGTGCCTTGCTCAGAATTTGCATCAGCCAGTCACCCCCTCTTCTCCCTTTTGGCACAGCTCCTGTTAGCCTGTCCCCAATGTCACTCATTTTCAGGTTCAGCCTCCACTCTGCCCTGTCCCATGTCAGAGCCTGGGGTAACCTTTCCAAAAACAGTTCCCTTTGCAGATGCAAGGCTCAGTTGGTTTCAGGTTTTGTTTTGTTTTTTTAAGATTTATTTATTTATACAAGCACTGGGTACAGTCAGAAGTGCGGGAGGGTGAGAGAATTCACCAGAGCCAGAGCGGGGAGCAGAGCAGACAGAAGGACCGAAGTACACTGCTGAGGGGAGCAGCGGGCGGCAGGAGAGGTCTGCGCGCCATGTGGGACCCTTGCTGACGGCTGGGGATGGAACCAGCACTGCAGAGGCTGCGGGCAACTTCACAGCCCAGCGCTCAACCGCTGCACCACCAGGGGAGGCCCTGGTTTCAGTTCTTGTTTTGGTTTATTTCCTATTTCTGGTTGATACCTTACACTGGTGTGTGGGGGAGGGGAAAAGGAGAGAGTCTAGAGTTGTGTAATTTCTGGCATTCATGCTCATTTTTGCTAGAACCCACGGGGTAAGATGAGAAGAGGGGTCAGGAGGCAGATTTGAGGGTGCAGCCAGCACCCTACATTTGCTGTCATTCTTATCCATCAGCATTTGACCTTTACAAAGGGCTTTCTCATCCATTATGGAATTTGTGAGGGTAGGAATGTTCTCACAGACAAGGCGATCTGGAGGCAGAAAGTTTGCCAAGTCTGGATAGGTGAGCCAGAAGAGGCCCTTCCAAGCCACAGTCCTCTACTCCCCCGTAGCTCCTCAGCCTACAAAACCAGAGCTAGAAAACACTGGCATGTGTTTCAGCATCTGTAGCCTGGTCTGTGGAGACCTAGTGCTATAAGGAGTGGAGGGAGGAAGATTGCGCCAGGGGGCGTTAGGCAGCATGCAGAAGCCACCAAGAAAGGGGAATGCAGCTTATAACATTCAAACATGGATCCAGTGAAGGATGCTGGTCAGGAGAGAAACAGGGAGAAGTGAAGACGGGAACCTGGGGAGTCCCCATAGCACTGGCCTTCCTACTGCCCCTTGACCAAAACCTATCTTGCATTTCTTTGAGGTGGCTGTTCCTGAGAGATGGGTTCTCACACATCTTTCACTTTTCTGTCCCCCCACTGATCCTATTTTTGAACATTCAGTGTTAACGTCTATCCCTCCTGACTACAATTTCAAAGCTCTCTGCCTTCAAGCTTTCCTGGCTTGGGGCTCAGCTTTTCACCGCAATGCCTTCTCCCCCAGAGAAGAAAGCAGCTCTCAGTGGGCCCTGCCTGGTCCTCTTCCACTCCTGCTTCCCCTTCCCGCCAAGAGCACATATTCATGCATTCATTATTCACCTCTGACTTGGACCTGTCTAAACTCTTAATATTTACCTCCAGTTCCCATAAAGCAGAGTGGCCTAGTTGTGGAGGGGAGCCTGGGGAAGAAGGAATCATCCTATGGAGGGAGGCCCCAAGTCTCCAACCCAGGGAGAGAGGGTCATTACAGGGATAACACAAATCAACTGGAGACCCCTCTACTACTATGTGCAGGGCCCCCCTTTTCTGTAGTAATTCTGTGGGGCTTGGAGAAAGGGATGTGGGAGGGGACAGAGGCAGAAATCAGAATGGGGGGTGTGTGAGCGTGTGCGCATGTGCAGAGGTGTTGCGGTCCCAGACTTGCTATTCATTAGCAGTGTGGCGGTGTCAGGTAATTGACTCTCCTGCACCTCAGTGTCCTTAATGTTTTCAGATAAGTCTCTACAGGACTGGTGTGCTGAAATGAGATAATAGATGTGGAAAGCACTGTTGCTATTTGTGTGAATGAAGATCATTTCAAAGAAAAATTTGGGGGTATTTATGGTGGGAGGGAGCAGGGTGCTGAGCAGCTATTACCACCTTGCCCCAGGAACAGTGCCAACTAAAACACAGGTTGGAATTCATTGCAACAGCCAGTGACCTTGAGGCTAAAGGCAGGGAGGAAGTCGCAACTTCCTGTCTCCTCCCCACTGGGGTCTCCTCCCCACTGGGGACTCACCACCAGCCTGTGAGGACCTGAGTGGCCCTGGGGCATGCCCTCAATACTTTTCTTGCTCCTGAGTATTAAGTAGCCCCAGTAACCTCTCACTCCCACTGCCATTTCACACTTTCCTGCTCAAGTCTGGAATCAGAGGATAGCAGTACCCCCACCCCCTGCAATCCCCAAACTACATTCAGAGTTATGGATTCTGAGATACACCCTCACCACACCTCATCCTGTCTGCCCATGAGCTCAGTCCTAACTGGAAAAAAATGCCTCATTGGGCCCTCCCCTTTTGTGCCCATATCCCTACCCCTGGTAGGATTTGCTGCCATGGAGCAAAGGAGAGGACAGGAGGTAGGTGGATAAAAGAGAGGCCTTTTGGACCTCCCTGGTGGCACAAGGGATTAAGTCTCACCTCTGTGAAGCTATCAGCAGCCACTGCAGTGCTAGTTTGATCCCCGGCTAAGGTTTGGCACAGCAGACCTCTCCTGTACCCCTGCTGCTCCTCTCACCAGGGTATTTCAGTAGATCCACCTGTTCTGCTCCCCACTCTGTCTCTGCTGAATTCTCTCACCCTCCTGCATCTCTGGCGTATGCCCCAGCTCTTGTATGCATAAATAAAATAAATCTTTAAAAAAAAACAGAGTGAAAACTTTCCAAGAATTTTATAATACTCAACAACTTCCTGCCATCTACCAGTTAATTAAGATGTTTGGGTTTCAGATTCCTTGAAGTACTGTGGGGTAAAGGGGGCCGCTGGTGGGGAACCTTCAGGACATTAAGTCAGCAAAGGGTTTGATTAACTCTATAGGAGAACCCTCTGGGAAAGATCTTGGCCCCTGTGCCAGGATGTTTGGGTATTCCAGCAAAGGATGGGTGTGAAAGGGGGAAACACCCAGAAGGGGAATGCCAGTCCAAGATCAGTGAACCAGCAGATTACCTTGTGGCCTCATGGACTGCTCCTGTGTGACTGTGCCAGTCTTTCAGGACCATGTTTACTCTGCCACCCGCCCAGAATTGCCTGCCAATCTGTCAGTGAAGATGTGTGTTTACAGCATTGGAATTAGTTTCTCTCGGCTTGGAGAAAATAAGCTGGGTAAGGAACTCCCTGGTGGTGCAAGGGGTTAAGCACCACACTATGAAGCAATCAGCAGCCTCTGCAGCGCAAGTTCAATCCCTGGCTGGCCAGGAAGCAACCCACATGGCACAGCACTCCTCTCCTGTCTTTCCCGCTGCTCCCTTCAGCAGTGTATTTCAGTCAGTCTGGCTGTTCTGCTTCCCAGTCTGTCTCTGGTGAAGCCTCTCACTGCCCCCCACCCACTGCATCTCTGGCCTGTACCCCAGCTCTTGTATGCATAAATAAATAAATCTTTAAAAAAAAAAGAAAAGAAAAGAAGCTGGGTCATAATTCTGAGGTTCTGCCATCCACTTGAAATATTTAGTTCTCTGATCACTTCCTTTTTCACTTTAGTCATTTTGAATCAAAATCTCTTCTCTAGGTCGAAGACTAGCAACACCCCCTGTGGTTATATAGAGAGGTGTTGCCACCAGCTGGCCAAGTCTAAGAAGTCACTTTGGGCCATTTTCCAGTTTTGTTTTTTAAGATGCATGCATACAAGAACTGGGGTGTGTAGTGCCAGGATGGGACAGAGCAGGCTATCTGTGATGGGAGCAGACCAGACAGGGTAAAGGAGGAGTCCTGGAGCCCTCAGTGGCTTTCTAAGGCTTTTATTGAGCTTTACATGTAGTGTGGCAAACAGGCACAGGGACGGCAGGGGTGCTGGGGGGCCAGTAGGCCTCCAAACCCCTGGCAAGTCTTCACTCTGGACTTCTCTCTCTCTCTTCTAGCTTTCTTTCTCCCCTTCTCTTTCCTGCTTCTTTCCTGTCTCTCTCCTGTTCTTCTCTTGGTGACTATCTCAATACTCCTCCCATGGCCCACAGAAGTAAACAACACAACAATGTAACAACTGCAGTTGCTGCATTGGGCAGGTCAATCCTAATGGTGGGAGGGCAGAAAAGCCTGAAAACATTTACCCTACAGGGTGTAAGCCAGAGGCAGGGATGGTGGTGAGAGGACTCACCAGAGACAAATTGGGGAGCAGGACAGGCAGATATAGTGAAATACACTGCTGAGGGAAGCAGTGGGTGAACAGGAGAGGTCTGCTGTGCCATGTGGGTCAGCTCCCTGGCAGGTGGGGGATGGAAATCCCCCACTGCTGCAGTGGCTAGCGATAGCTTGATAGCGCTGTCTTTTAACTCCTGTGCCACCAGGGAGGTCCCATTTTCCAGTATTTTGTTCAATCATTCACCAATCACAACATTGCCAAACCCTTACCTACCAGGCACTGTGCTAGGTACAGGGGAGACAAAAACTAAATACAGTTCCTCTTCTCAGACTGTAATAAACTTTTTGAGATGGATGGGCGCTTCAAGCTCATCTCATTCAACTTATTTTACAGGGAGTGAAAGTGACTTACCCAAGGCCATCAGGAAAGAGTAGCTAAGCCAGGATTTGAGATAAAAGTCTCTACTTGAATCTGGCTCTTCAGACTATATCACACATCCCAGTAGGCTTTTCTTTGCGCCTTTGTTCTCTTCCCTGCTTCCTGTATATCAGACGTACCAGTCTTTCCCCCGGGAAGTGTCTAGTCTGCCAAGGGAAACAGCACCAGGGTGTGGACAGAGGGACAGAGAACAGGAGGAATTGGACTCAACAAAAAGGCTCCTGCTCTCCCTCATGTTTCTGGTGAATCCTCTTCACCCCCACCCCCGCCACATCTCTGGCCTGTACCCAGCTCTTGTATGCATAAATAAGTAAATCTTTAAAAAAAAAAGAAAAGACAGATACATAAGTCAGTGGAACAGAATTGAGAATCCTGAAATAGACCCATACGTGTATAGTCAATTGATTTTTAAGATTTTATTTATTTATTTATTTATTTATTTATTTATTTATTTATTTATTTATTTTAAAGAGAATGGGGGACTTTTATTTGTTTGTTTATACATGCACTGGGTACAGTCAGAAGCGCGGGAGGGTGAGAGAATTCACCAGAGCCAGAGTGGGGAGCAGAGCAGGCAGAAGGACCGAAGTACACTGCTGAGGGGAGCAGCGGGTGGCAGGAGAGGTCTGCGTGCCATGCAGGACCCTCCTCCGGTGGCCGGGGAGCAGCCGGGGATCGAACCGGCACTGCAGAGGCCGCGGGTAGCTTCGCAAACCAACGCTCAACCGCTGCGC